GGGGGCACGTGCCCCCCAAATTTTTACGGTCGGGCAAAAATCAATGGGACATTCGGGCAAAACATAAAAATTTCGGGAAAATTATATATCCGGAAATTTTTTTTGTATATTTGCGAAAATTACGTCAAGTTTTGTATATTTGCGAAAATTACGTCAAGTTTTTGTATGTTTTATGTTTGGAGACTGACTCGTCCCCAGTCGCTTACCTAACGCGCGTTGAATTACCCAACGCGCGCTGATTGATGGGAGACATGTTTTTGGTATGTCCGGGAAATTTTTTTTGGTATATCCGGAAAAAAAAAATTTGGTGACCTCATCCCCCCCCCCGCCAACTATTTTGGGGGAGAAATATTAATGTTTAATTTGCCTGTTCGGGCAAACTATACTGTGCCCCCCAAACAAGATTAGGCCCGTACGCCCATGAGTTCATTGGCGAAGTAATTTTACTAAGCTGAAGTTTATGTAAATCAGGACAAACTAGCTTTATCCGATTTACAAACATTGATTAAATATTCATTTCTTTCGAATTTTCGTCACGAATTATTAATGAGTATTTTAAGTACTAGTTAAAATATGAGTAGCTGATCTTTATGGGCATTTAAAATGACGAGCGCGCAGCGCGAGCCATTGTTAATTGCCCATAAAGATCGGTTACGATCATTTTAACGTACTTGTAAAATGAATTCATTTTTTACTTTATTAGTATTCACTGCTCATGAGCATAATCTGACACTTCATTAGGATGCATTTAAAATCTGAATTAGTATTGATAACTTTCGTAAACATCCCTGCTTCTGAAATAGTATTCATAACTTTCATATAAACATCCCTCTAACATGACTTACTGATCTTAATAATATACATAAAGATATTACGAGACTGTGATTGGTTGATTTCAGTGCTGCAGTTAATCCCAAACAGCAGTGCAATTTTCTGGAATCACAGTGCAAATATCTGTAACAAACTGATCTGATTGGTTGAAAAACATTGTGACGATTAAATCAACCAATCAGTTTAAAGCAATTTAGTTTAAAGAAGTAAGGTCACAGATTGCTTCAAAGCAAAACAAACATGGCGCCGCGGTACACAAAGTAAAAGTTGCCTTCGCGTGGAAAATATGGCTTTTATCTTTATTTTTAAATATCTTTACCTTAAACAAGACTAACAAAAATTACATAGTTGAGTGGAATTTTCAAGCTGTTATCGTTGTATAATGTGATATAACAAAGCCAAGAAAACTTTGCCAGTGGAATGTTCGCTATAAACGTTAAAACTATACAATTGTCTCGAATTATATTAGTTATCACAACTGATAGATGAAGCTACTCGAATAACTATATGACAACCATAAGTCTAATAGATCATATTGTTACTAACACACCCGAGATAATTTCTGATTCTGGTGTCATTCGCACAGGTATAAGCGATCATAGTTTGGTATTTGCAATAAGGAAAATTTCTGTTGTGAAAAAACAAGAAAATACTGTTGAGATTAGAAATATGAAAAATTTTGATGAGGAAAAATTTGTTGCAGAACTGCTGAAACAGCACTGGGAATATGTGTATTTTTTGCTTAAGATCGAAATGCCATGTGGGTAATTTGGAAAAAAATATTTTTAGAGGTCCTAGATAAGCATGCTCCGCTTCACTACAAAAAAAATCAGATAAAAAAGTCTCTTGGATTAGAAGCGATATAAAGAAGCTTATATATATGCAAGGGACAAGTTAAAACGAAAAACCATTTTTACAAACCTAGAAAATGATTGGTTAAATTATAAAACAACAAGATGCCTGCCCAGGCGTTCACACTGGCCTCACGGTTGGTAAAATACCATCGCAATATTCTAAAAAATAATTTGAAACATGTAGATGTTCTTCACTTCTTGACGGCCGTCACTTCATGATCACAAACATTCAGAGGACGGCATAATAAAAATCCATACAAAACCAATAGAGTTCAGCGATATCATATCGAAAACACAGAAAAGTTCAAGCGCATGCGCAATGAAATATAATAAAATACGTCCCACAATTACAGCGTCTAAGATTTGTAACGTAGTTAAACACGAAACTCGTTCTGATTAACATTGTGTAGAATCGTCGTGAGCATGTTTTAGCTAAATTGCGAAATCCTGAGCTCACGATGCCGCAATGGAAAGTCACACTTGCGACAACAAAAAACCCCCGAAAAAGACAGCAATTTCAGAGGCCCTGTTAGGGGGGTGGGGGTACTAATGTCGCCAGTCTGAATTTCAAAACTTGTTATGTCGCGATTTGAGGAGTTGGGTATGTCCCTGTCGTTATTTCACGTCATTTACCATGTATGCTATTTCTTAATAGGGTCCATTAACCAAAAATTCGATTGCATCAACCAGGACTGTTGACTATTTCACAATTGTATATCAAAAACAATATATTACGAGGCGAGACTTGTAGTGATGGAGACATAATTTATTCTACGCTTACTAACGCCTGAAAACTGTACTTTGCCAATGACATTTTGTCATTTTTAAACATTTTGTTGACATTGTTGTGGTGTTTTCACACCGACTTATATATAGTATACCGTTCTGTGTTTTTATGATGACCGCTGATCAATGTCATCATAGAATATATAATAGACTATTTTCTCTATAGTCTATTTTCTATTTTCTATTCTGTGATGTCATCAATCACAGAAACATTTTCGATGTCTTCGATGCGTTTTACGATTTTACAAAACTGTTTTCAATATAATTTCTTACGTGTGGAAAGGTGTCAAAGGTACAAATAGCTACAAATAACGCAATGTCGCTGTCGCATGTTAGGAATAACACGATTCGCTGTCATTCTTTGTTATTTCCAATTCGCTGTCGCAATTTTAACCAAAATTGGTTTCGCTTGTCGCCATTTCAGCTCTCCCATGTCGCCGTTTCAACGCCATGTCGCCTGTCGGAATTTACCCTAACAGGGCCTCATTTCAAGCAAGGAAATAGAAATAAAGTAAATATAGAATTAAGGAATGCCAAGAGAAATTACTATTAGGCAAAACAAACCAACAGTGGTAAATGAACTAAATCTAGATCAAAACAATTTAACAAGTCCCGAAGATATTGCGGACGGATTTAATGACTATTTTTCAAACATTGGCCCTGATTTAGCTAGCAAAATTGATTCTTTAAATTACAATTTTGAAACGTATGTTAAAAATGGTAAATCAGAGTTTGCTGCATTCCAACCTGTTACTGTCAGTCGTGTTTGTCGCCTTTTGCTTGGTCTTTCCAGCAATAAAGCCACTGGCATTGACAAGATTTCTTGTAAAATTATTAAAAAAGCTGCATCTGTCGTTTCAGATTCACTGACAGTTATTTTTAATCAGGCTATTACTCTATCTTCTTTTCCTGATGAATGGAAAATGGCTAAAGCAGTACCTCTGTATAAAAATAGCCAACGAAATATTCCAGGAAACCATAGACCAATGTCAGTTTTGCAGGCCATTAGCAAAGTTCTGGAACAAATTCTATATGATCAACTGAGTGTATAACTATTTAACAAAATCTGAACTTCTTAGTGATTCTCAATTTGGTTTTCGAAAATTTCACTCCACAGCTACTGCATTAGGGACCGGTCATTATTTATGGTGGGGGGTGGCACCGAAGAGAAAAGGGTTGGGTAAACTAAATTTTGAGTAAGTAAAAGGTTGGGTAAATGAAAAACAAAACAACTCAAGGGTTGGGTAATAAAAAATTATTGTCATTTCCAAAGCATGACTCACTGAAGTATTGGGGACTAAAAAGCAATGGCAACAGTAGGCCCTACTCTGGGGCGATAACGAGATAATGCAAGTTTAATTTAGCAAATTTAGGTGATTTAAGCAAAATCTGCAATTTAAGCAATGCGAGTTTGAGCGATATAGGGCAATGTAAGAAAACAATTAAAATTTTAGGGAATGCTGTTTTAGGTGTTTAGAGGTAATTTCAGGAATA